GGGATGGGGCGGGGAGAATTCGAGGATTCCCCATCCTTGATGAAGCTTGCTTGACACTAAGGATGAGGCGGGGATATTTGAGGATTCCTTGTCCCTAACAGAGAGTGGGTGACTTACCTTGAACCTACTTGACACTAGGGACAGGGGTGGGGATGGGGTAGAGTGTCTTGACTACAGGGCCGGGATAGGGATGGGATGCCCCCGTTGCCATTCCTATATAATTGTTAATTATTAGTGAAATTAATAAAAATGTTAGCTTTTGTAGTTATTCTTATTTATTTAAAGTCAATCAAAATTACATTTAAAAATTCTGAAAATAATGACAATTATTAAAATTATTACAAATGATTAATAAAATTAAATTTATTAAAAAATATTTGTTCATATTAAATTAACAATAATTATATTAAATGTAAAATGTAATTATTAAAATTTTAAATATTAGCAATAACTTGGAATACTTTTCGTTAATTAACATCAAATTTTGATTATTAATTTATCAATTAATTATTAGTAAATAAAATTATTCAGCCTTTTAGATTTTCCCATGCATCACACGAGTCCCCACTAGTATATAATAAAATTGGACAGTCCATTGTCAACATGTCACTCCTTTAAGAGGAGCTATTTATCTATTTTCTTAATTTTTTGCATTTTTCTTTTTTTTGTTTTAAAATATAAAAAAGTAATCATTGTCTATTTTGATTAGATCAATAAAGCTTTACACTATTATAAAGAGAAAGAGAGTGAATGAGTGAGTGATTGACCTTTGAGTTTTCCGAGTCCTCTTATTTTAATGAATGCTATTAATACATTTGAAAAAGACATTTAAGAGAGAGAGAGTGTGTGTGCGGGAATAGTAATACAACATAATAAAATAAAATATTAATAAATCAAATAGTATAAAACAAACATAAAACAACAAAAATTAAAACATGATTTTAAAAAGTTATTAATTTAAAAATCCACTAAACTTCCACTCAAAACTAATATATGTATAATAAAATAAAATTAAAGGGTCAATGTCAGCATGTCTCTCCTTTTAGAGAAGCTATTTATCTATTTTCCCATATTTTTTGCTTTCTTCCTATCTTTTTTGTTTTAAAATATAAAAAAGTAATCATTGCCTATTTTCATTAGATCAATAAAGCTATACAATATTATAAAGAAAGAGAGAGAGAGAGAGAGAGAGAGAGAGAGTAGGAATAGTAATACGACATAATAAAGTAAAATAGTTATAAATCAAATAATATAAGTAGGTTGAGGTTAAACAATCAAACATAAAACAATAAAAATAAAAATATTACTTAAAGAAAAATTATTAATTTAAAAAATCCACTAAACTTCCACTTAAAACTAATAAATATTAACAAAACTTAGTAAAAATTAAAAATATTTCAATTCCACTTAAAATTTAAAAAACACTAATAAAAATAATAAATTTAAATGCAAAAAATATTAATTGATAGTCTTAATAATATTATGATTTAAACATGGGTCTGATATAATGCAAATAGAACCCATGTTCTAATATTGTATTTTGTTTTGTTTACTCTTTTTATTTTATCAGATAACTTTGTACTAATGCATTTTTAAGTAATTAATATTAATATTATTACAATTAATATTTTTTAGGAGTTAAGATCTTTATGATGCATAGTGCCTATACTACACAAGAGACTTATAAATTTTAGTGAAAATTTAAAATGTAGAACCCATTTTATCACTCAGACAAAGAAGACAAGTTAAATAGGTCTATATTGACCAATTTTTGGAAACATATCTAGGGTATATAATAATAATAATAATAATAATAATAATAATAATAATAATAATAATAATAATAAATAATAATAATAATAATCTATATAATTTAAAACTTAATAACTATAATTAATAAAAATTACTAAAGTTAATAAAATTATTAAAATTTAACAAATTTTTATCTAGAAACTATTAAAAGTTAAGAAATTAATAAAGATTAGTAGTTCATAAATTAAAAAACTAAAATACAATTTAAATCTATTTGAATATAATTAAACAATTAATAATAAAAAGTTAGGATAATTTAAAATTAATAATAAAAAGTAAACAATTATAAAAAATAATAAAATAAACTATTTGCATTCCATATAAAAATTAATTATGTCGTAAGATTCCTATTTATGGTTGACCATTTATAATTTAGCCCAACCTTGAGTTCAAGCAAATAATGCAGGTAGTAGGGTTGTAAAATTAATAAAAATTAGTATTGATAGGATAATTAAAATTAATAATAAAAAGTAACAAATCATTAATAACTTAGCCTAACTTGATTAGATTTATAAATTTCCATGCTTAAACAACTTTTTTTATTAATTTTTGAGTTAGATCTAGCTCTAAGATGCACCAAGCTCACACGTAACGTGGGTAGTAGGGTTGTAAACGGAATAGATTCAAATCAAATCGAGCTACATCCACATCAAGATCTGATTATGAAATTTTTAAATTTGCATTCACATCTGATTATTATTATTACGATGAATTTTGAAATTTAAAGTATATATGCATATATTAATATCTATGTGCATACAATAACTTTATTACATATACAAAACAATAATTTTTTATTAGACATGGATTTTAATCAAATTGGATGGGGTTAAATCCATATCCAATCGAATTACTAATCGGATGTAGTTCTAACATCCAAATCTATGAAATCTAGGATAACCGGATTCAAAATCTAATTGAGTATCAAACTTTCAAACCATAATGATGGCCCTAGAATAGGGCCCAAGCTAAACAATCCGTAATATGCTCAACATGGAAGTTATATGCCCATACTATAAATATTATTATATCATATTTAGATAAATTTTATATTAATATATATAAAAATGTAAAGATATTTTTTAATTTATAAAAAGAATCATAGATTTATAATTAACACGAGCAAGCCTATAGGCCTAGACAAATATTATTACACTTAAAGTGTGGGTTGGGCTAGGACCAAGGTTTACAAATTCGATACAATACGCTCGATGCGGGGTGTATCATATCGTATCTTTGAAAAACCGATACAGGATATGCATGGAAATCAGACGTTTTATCTTTTTTCATGCGTACCGGACCCGTATCGGGGGCATATCGGTAGCATATCGACGAAAACGATACGCCAAAAAACTAAAAAAAAAATTAAGGGGAAAGCAATCTTCTTTTCCCCGAAATAAGCCTTCCTTCACCCCCAAATTACTCTAAAACTCCAAATTTCATTCCTAGAGTGCTAGATTTGCAAGAGTTTTCAAGAAACAAGTGTGAATCGTTAATTTTTTTAAGGAATTTTCAAATTTTGAAAAAAATTGGCAAAAATAGGTACTTTTTTAAATCTTTTATAATATCTTGTGATTTCTTTTTTTATTGAATGTTTAAATTTATGCTGATCTACATTTCTTACATTCAAAATCACAATTTTTTTTTGTGTTATCATAGATTTATGGAAATTTCATGAAGATATTTGGGGAAAATATAAATTAACAAAAAATTTAAAAATGTATTTTTTTTTCTCTACCTATAAAGACTAAATATGTTTTAGATCTATGGATCTATCTATCATATCCATAGAGTAATTGAAATTTCTTTAATATTTTTTTTACTTTTTTATATTTTTAGATTTAAAAAATAAATAATAATTAATTATATTTTATCATTTGATCACAACAATTGGATATATTATAATTCTATGAATGATCTATCATATTCATAGATCAATTGAAATTTCTTCTTCAATAATTATTTTTTTATTTTTTAAATTATATTTTATCATTTGATCATAGTGATTGAATATATCATAATTCTATGGATGATCTATCATATCCACAAAGCAATTGAAATTTCTTCTCTAATAACTATTTTTTGAATATATTATATAATGTTTATTTGTATTTTATAATTTTTGGAAATGAATAATAAAATAAATAATTATTAATTATATTTTCACATAGAAGATGTGCCAATGCATGTTTTATAGTTGGATAGGAGAGTTGGACTTTTCTCATACCATAAGACATTAAAACTTAAGAATTATAATTATAAATTATAGTTAAGCATAGGATTTTTACTGAAATTATAATTAGATATGTCATTTATTCATAAAACCACTAAAATATATTAATTTAATGTATATACACCTCAATGAGGTCTTATATTTAGTGTTGTTGATGTATTTTTATAATTTATTAAAGTATTTATAGTGTTTCCAAGCGTATCTATGCGTATCCTAGTTTTTCTACAATACACATGCGTATCCAAGGTATATCCTAATACGTCTCTTAAAATTGCCTTTCCGATACACTTGGTGTTTCCGATACTTTGAACCTTGGCTAGGACAGGCAACTTTAAAAACTACTAATTTTAGCTCAAGATTTATAATTTTTTGGTTCATTGGGCTACACAATGGGGCCATCTTTCATAACTATTTTAGCTTCAATATTATTTAAAAATAGTTTAAAAAACTCAAAAAATGAGGATCAATCCAAGCCTAATCCAAAGTCTTAAACCTTAAGTTTGGATTTAGATGAATTTAATTATGACCAAAATAGTTAACTATAGATTAATTTAATTATAACTATAGCTTAATTTTATATATTCATTATATCAATATTTTAAATATTTAAGTGATTTTACAAACAATTGAAATATTTAATCATTAATAAAGTAAAATAAATAAAATAAAACACTAACAAATAATATGAAAATAATTTCTTTATTAATTAATTAATAATAATTTATTTTTTATTACAAATACTAATATAATTAATTCAAATTACTAAATTATTAAATTAATAAAATATTTATATAATAAATTATTAAAATAAAAATTTAATTATTGAGGTTTTTATTGTTCATTCCACGGTTCCACCCAAACAAATCTTAGCCCATGAATCCTAAAAGAATGTATTATTTTGAGCAATAATACCTTCTTTCATTAATTATAAGTTTGGTTATTTTACTTTCCTTGTATATATCTGGATTATTCCTCTCTTGTGATTCGTGGCGATCCACCCCGCCAGGAAACCGTTTCCACCGACCTCTTACTCACGGATAGCTCGAGAACAAAATTTTCCTTCCTTACATTTTCGCCTCATAATCGGAGAGAGAAATCAAAATCTCGATTCATCGATCTCTCCAGATTTGCTGCCTTTTGTCCAGCGGGGATCGGGTTCACAATCGACTGAAATCAAAAGCTTGGAGTTGGAAGAGGGTACTCTTTACTCACGGACAGCGCGAGAACAAAATTTTCCACTTCCCCACATTTTCGCCTCATAATCGGAGAGAGAAATCAAAATCTCGAATCATAGATCTCTACAGATTTTCCGCCTTTGGTCTAGCGGGATCGTGTTCACAATCGACTGAAATCAAAAGCTTGGACTTGGAAGAGGCTACTACTCTCCATGAAAATTGCAGCGCTAGGTACTACGGAATTCCTTCGTGTTCTTATCATTTCCTGCTGTAAAATCTTTCTGTATTGTACCCGTTGATCTGCTCAGGATGAATCGTAGGTCTAGATCACGAAACTGCTTTATAAATATATATAGTCCCGAAAAGTCCGATTTTCAGCTTTCAAATGAGTTTCTTAGTTTTTTTTTTTTTCGTATTTTCGCTTCTATCGGTTTGAATATCAGTTTCTTCGTAAATTCTATGACAAGATTAGAACAAAAACCTGTTTATTAACTTTTTTTTTTTCTCGAGACTCAAGTTATTGAATTCCGTTTCCTTTATTTTTCTCAATAAACTGAGTCGAAATCTGAATGTTTTCAATGAAATCGAAATTAATTTGTTTCGGTAAATAGAAGAAACAGTTCTCTCATTTTATTTGTTACTTCGTTCAAAGTGATGGAAAGAATGGAAGAAGCAGCAAGGCAGACAGACCGCTAAAAGCATCTTCGGTTGTTATTATTCCAGGTCTTTCTCTCTCTCTCTCTACCCATATATTGAGCTTGGCTTCGGTGAGGGCAAAACCCATTCGAGAAGCCTTTATCTTCATTGTCTTGCACGGATAAGCGTCCCATGTTTATAATGTTTATATTTAAATTTAAAATCAATTAGAAAATTCAGGTCAGTATCTGAAAACAAAATTAGACAGACACCCGGCTGATCGACCTATCACGGTTGAACTGTGGGTCTCACCTAGGACCCAACTGTACTGAACATTGGCGTACACAATATGTTTTTGTCTCCAATTAATCTGCTCCCTTCTTTAACACCAGCTCCGGCTTCATAGAAAGCCAAAAACTATTCCTAGCATTAGCCTCTTTTTTTCTTTTCCTTTTAAGCTTTTTTTCAAGATGGTATCAGAACTTATTTGAACATATGATATAGTGTTTTATTCTCACAACCTTAATTAAATTTCAGCATAAGATATAGATGGGCCTGTATTTGTCTGCACTTCAAGTTCAATATAGGCTTTTGCTTCAAGGGACTTGTTAAAGAATAAAAAAACTATTCAGATATTTCACCTAAAAGTTTAAGTTGTTAGGTAAACTCCCTAAGTAAATTGTCATTCTCTTTATATGACTGGCATTACTCTAAATAGAAATTGGGAATTCTGAGCGAATCCCGTGAACCCTCCAAGCACATCACCCTATTCAAAATGAATCTTCCATAAATGTTCAAACTCCTTTAATGAAATGAATCTGGTTGAAGCAGATAAAAAATGACAAAAAAATTAAAGGGGTTTTATAGTTCAGTCCACCCTTAGAAATCTAGAGCTCTACTTTAGGGGTGGACTAAATCCTGACGGTGGATTGATGCTAAATTCATGGGCAAGATGCAGTTTATAAGGAGGTTATTAATAGATTAGGAGGGAGCTGTAAATCAGATTTCTGAGGGAGATTGCAGTCCAAAAATCCCAAAAATAAAAAGAATCCATTCATTTAAACTCCCTCCCATTTTCTCCTCTGAGCCATAACCATGTAGTACACCACCGGTGATTTCATTGCATAACCGGTGTCTGACGGCTGGAGTCCACCAGCGGTACTTATTACATTATCGCTCCCAAAAGCTCCTCCTTCAACGGATTCCAACACAAAGCCTTGTTGACAATCCCAAATCCCCTAACACTGCCTTCAAATTCTCCTCTGAGCCCTAACCATGTAGTACACCACCGGTGATTTCATTGCATAACCGGTGTCTGACGGCGTGGAGTCCACCAGCGTTACTTATTACATTATTGCTCCCGAAAGCTCCTCCTTCAACGGATTCCAACACAATGCCTTGTTGCCAATCCCAAATCCCGTAACATTGCCTTCAAATTCTGAAGAACCCCCACCTTGCAATATGAATGCTTAAAACCAAAAGATGGGTCATCTATGTCACACATGATTCATTGGAAAAATGATTGTTCTTGGCTGGGCAAAGCTACAAATTCCGACAAACATACTCTCCCAATCTTCATTCCAAAGCCATATTTTTCCACTCCAGTGGTGCTGCCGTTAACAATCTCTGTGAATAGGTTGAAGCTCTAAGGCCCATTCTTCCTTCCAGGAACCACCACCCCCAACACAACTGTTGGGTTCAGCTACTATAGCTAAGCCGAGTTGCCACAAATCTTTGAAACTTCTAATACCCTCTTCCCCTGCGAATTAAAGATCATTCCCCTCATCGAAAAAACAAAACAAAATACCCAGAAATCAAAGCTATCAAAAAAAAAAAAAAAAAACTAAATGAAGGTCCAAATTCATACAAAGGAGTAAGAAGATCAACACGCAAAGATGGATTTTAGATCTATTCAGTGATGATAGCTGCACAAGATGGTCCTAGAAATAATTGTGTCAGCCATTAAAACAAACTATCCTCATTTTAAAACCTGCGATAGTCCCTCAATAAAGCTTCAACACCACCTCTAGTTAGATGCATATGAAGGGATGGGAGATCCATCATATGGATAGCTGAACCCTTCAGGAAGGTTGAGCGAAATTTCAGAAATTTTTTCTATCTCCCATGTGGGAATCGCATTCCCTATTTTAGAAAACTGTATTTTCAATTATCAATCTTAAAACCAAACCGGACCAGATCTGAAACCAAAAAGTAGGAGAGGGATATACTTGATACGGAGTAACAGTAACTTCCAACGAAGGTGTTCACGTCTAAGGAGAAAACCAAATACTGCTCCCACTGAAAATGACACAGTGTGAGGTGGAGCAAAATCAGCAGGATGACTCTTCAACAAGAACCAAATTCTTCAGTAAGAATGTGATGGAGGGCAGATGGGCACGACTTCAGATTACCTTTTCTACCAAAAGTTAATATCAAGAACCTTTCTTGATAATTCCTACAAGTGGAGATCGAACTGATAGGGGTGGCAAGAGTAGGGAAAAGCAAAAGACAGATGCTATCAAAATATAAATTCTTCTCTCTGTGTAATCTGCGAACTGAGTATTGTGTTTTGGAGGTTCGCCCTGCTCCTCTATTTATAACCTTCAAAGAGTTCATCTCCTAATCCCTTTAGAAGTTTCCTAATCCAAATCTTGTATTTGGATCTGGACTCTTTTTAAGAGATAAGAATAATCCCTTATCTTATTTGCAGATAAAGATCATCATTCCTAATCAAATTAGGAGTTTTATGATTCAAATCTTTATTTGGATCTAGACTCTCTGAGTGGATAATGATAATCCTTTATCTTATCTACTGATCTAAATCCCAGAACCGCCCCTAATTAATCTTATTAAGCCAGTTCGAATTAGGCATTAGGCCCATTGAGTCTATGTGCTCACTTAACCTCCAAACTGCTGCCCAGTTGGCTATCTTTGTATGGCGTGGGACCCAAACATTGATCTACACATCAGCCACATGGGCCCAACAGTGAACCCCTGAGTCCATCACCATGGGCTCTTAATGGGCTCAACATTTACACTAAATGGTCGTTGGGTCAAGTCACCTTATAAAACTTAAGAACTGTGGGCAGATGCAAGATTAACCCATCAGGTATTACCCTCAATGGTTTTATACTTAACCTCTCAGCCCATAATGATCAAACACTGCCCGACAAGAGAGGAGCTCGCTCTCGGCCGCTAGGTATAGTGTTGCACTCTCTACTCACATGGATCTCGGGAATTAAAACATTTTGCAAACATTATGAAACCAATATATATATATATATATATTGATTTCAATGGTTGAAATCAATTACTGGCAGTTTAGGTTTCCATCAGAGAGAGTGCATCCCCGATCATTCACTTTGTCCGACAAAGGGGTTGATCCTGTCACTATGATCACCCACTCAGATGAATTCTTGAACTGTCCCAACATACCCAAGTTTTGACCCCCTTTAAGGATTTCACTGATTGGCATAACAAAGACAACCCAATCCGACACCTAGTGTAGTATCATAATCGAGTCTAGGGGTCATGTGTAACATTTTAGTTTTGCCCATCAATCTCCAAGGTCCAAGGCAACACTAGAATTTTGGTCCGGTTTAGGGTTTCAAGAAAACCCACACTGCATGTACCTTAGGTGTCACCCTAGAAGTTGAGACAAGTCACCCCAACTAACTTGGCAGCACATTAGTTTCAGTCTTGGCAAGAAAAATCCCCCTAGATCTATCCAACGGTTGTGAAAATTCTAAACTAACACGAGTTTCATAACTGTCCAGTTTAAGGGTATTATATAGAAACACAACATACTAACATGAATCAAATATGTACTTTATTCATTTAAATTAAATGTCATAATGTATATCATTTTGATTGGAGCTAAGGGCATACACTGTCTAATAGCTCCCACTTGCACTTAGGTCCAATCAGGTACAAGCCGGATTCCCAAACTTTTCACGTGTTTCTAGAACACTTTCTGTGTTAGTGGCTTAGTCAATGAGTCTACCACATTCTCCGCTGATGCTACCTTTTAATATCAATCTCTCATAGATCTAATGTTGTCACACAATAGTGGAATGGGTGATGTGTTGAATTCCAAATTCCAGAATAAACACGTTCATTCATTAGGCAGGCTCACTTACGGCAATGTGTTCGGCTTGGGTTGTGGACTATTATTCTTACTACTCAGGACCCCTATTTTCTGCTCTTCCAATTTATAACACACGATCATATCGTGAAGATATAACCAGATGTAGACTTTCTATTATCTGGATTTGACTAGAAATCGACATCAATATACCCCTAGATCTATAGTGAACTACCATCGAATACCAGACAAAATTCTTTTGTCTTTCGAAGGTATTTAATATGTTTTTCACAGTGGTCCAATGCTTCTATCTTGGGTTAGATTGGTATCTGCTTACCACACTCACTGCCTTAGAGATGTCAGGACGAATGCACAACATAGCATACATAATGCTCCCTAAGGCTGAGGCATAGAAAACCTCTTTTATGCCATCAATCTCTTCGGGAGTCTTGGGAGACATTCCCTTGGAGAGAGTGACTCTATGCCTGAAAGGAACATTTCCTTTCTTGGAATTCTCCATGTTGTATCTCTTGACTATTTTGTCAATGTAAACAGACTGTGATAATCCTATTATCCTCTTCGATATATCTTTATAGAGTCGAAGACCTAGTATGTTAGAGGCTTCTCCAAGATCTTTCATGGAAAATTGCTATGAAAGCCCCACTTTCACCGTAATTAACATTCCTACATCATTCAAAATGAGTAGAATGTCATCTACATACAAAACCAAGAACGTAACCTTATCCCCACTAGTTTTCCTATAAACACAGGGCTCATTCGGATTTTGCTCAAAATCAAACTGTTTGACGGTAGAGTCAAACCGGATGTTCCAACTCTTAAAAGCTTGCTTAAGTTCATGTATGGATCGATTAAGTTTACATACCATGTGTTATTGACCTATAGGTATGAAACCTTGCAGTTGCTGCATAAAGATATCTTCAATAAATCTCCATTTAGGAACGCAATTTTGGCATCCATTTGCCAAATCTCATAGTAATAGTAT